CATCATTATCAATACTTATCATTTTTTACAACTATTTAAATAATGTACAATTATATAGACATGATTGCAATTCAGTTTACTTCGTATTACAGTTATCATAAATTACGATTACTATCATTATCAATACTGCTGTTGTTATTTATGAATGTTATTTACTCATTTATGCATAAATGTCATGTACTGAAAAAATTTTCATCAATTCAATAATATATTTGCTAAATATTTTTGCAGTGATTGATTATAATATTAATAATAGTGATAATAATAGCCAAAATTTGCTATATTTTTTTTTGTATTACTGTTAACAGTAACAGTAATAGAAAAATTAACACACAGAACAAAGCGATAGTAACGATAGCAGTGATAACAGCGACGGGGAAGAAGACGTATTAGGCCTAACAGTGGTTCTTCTTTCACGGCTGGATTTCATCTTGCCTTTAGGACTGATCATTTAATACATTCTGATATTTCATACTTTACGTCTACTTCTCAATGAACGAAAGCAATAACAACAGCGTATTTTACAAGAATTACTTCTTTAGAATATTTACTATGATCTTGAAGATAGAAAAGATCACTAAGTTTCTACTACTTTGTGTCTTTTTCCTTCACTTGAAGGTAAGCAGATTATGATCTCATTTATGCATAAATTGTTCTTTTACAATTTTGACTTAAAATTAATTTATCACTGTAAATGATGTTTTCTATTTGCCAAACTAAAAATATGAATACAGCTACTTGTTGCTAACACAATCACTTTTTAATAATAATATCAATGATAATAAAAATAAATGAATAAATAAATAAATAAATAAATAAATAATAATAATAATAAAATAGCAGTAATTATAAAAATTCGAAAAATTGGTGTCTAACAATAAATTTGTCAGTACTTATCTGATATCAGTATTTTGTATTATTTTTGATATTGCCACATTCAAAATATTACAATAATTTAATGGTACTGTTCATTGCTCAGTTACGTCTATTTGACTTCCAATTTCTTAATAAACTTGTCTTTTTAAATACATATTTTATTCTTTGTAAAACAATAATTGCCTTATAAAAAGTGAAGTCTACAGAAATTGAACAAGCAAACAAATTCTGCAATCACCATTACTAGTAGTACTAGTAGTATAGTAGTAGTCATGAAATTAGCTATGATTTCTTCCTTTATTTCCACTAGCTGTGTTTTTCTTTAATTAATTTTTACTAGATTTTAAATAATATTTTTGAAAATAATTTTTATTATTATTTAAAACTAAAAAAACTTGAAGTTAAATTTTTTAAAGAAATACAAAAATCGCTATTATATAAAGCTAATATTTTCACAAAATCTTTCTTCATACCATTAATTCTATTAATCATCTATATTAATTATTTTAAAATATTACTAAAAATATTGCAGTATTTGAAAATATTATCACAAATTTATAATATTTATTTCAGATAAAAATTTTTGTGAAATGAAGTAAGTAGAA